AGAGAGGTATGCTTGTATAATAAATGTAAATTAAAAATGCTCATAACTCACTTAAAAACTGAATTATTGTAAAAAAACTTCCAACAAAACACAGATAAAGTTCTCACCATCAAGTTTCATAAAAGGTTAATTCACTCTAATTTCTAAGCTAACGGCATAAAACTTGAACCGCTGAGCGTAAATTTGGTATGTTACTCGTTTGTAAGACGGAGACAACGCATGCGGGTGTGGCGTCCTCTTAATATGTTTTAAAAAGTTTCCTGTGTAATTGATTTGCCCATGTATTGTTTTATTGCACGATTGACAATCAGCAGTCAATTTATTACCTATCAATAATTGAAATAACTTCATAAAATGTACCGTCAAACAAATAATTATTTGTAATTTTATCGATTTCTTGAGCTGAATTTGAACTAGTCGAAGGATTGTGAACCATTGATTCATTTAAACCATGTGAGGCCCGTAAAGGTATATCGATAGCTTCTTTAATGCATTTTTTATTATTTTCAGAACTTGTAACTAAAAATCGCTTCATTATGAATTAGTATCAATGTTTAATACTAAACAAATAATTTTAGCAGCGTTTAGCAGTTCTTCTTTCGCAACGACAAATGTCAAAATATAAAAACGGTAGCATAATAAACTGTTGAGTACAAACTGAGAATAAGTGACAACTGACCACAGACTAAAGATGACAATCGAGAAACGGAGGCGACCGTGACAGTTGCATAATCGATCAAACCTCGGATCAAACTATAAATAACACCTAAAATACGCCAAAATATGTCTATTTGCGTATTTGCGTGTCGCCTGTGGCATTGTAGCCAGGGGGCTTCGGCAACCGGTTTTTATCTAAGTTGTAAACTTGTATTCACGGACTACGATATAGTAGTATTATATATATATATAATGATATTATCTTAGTCCGTCGTTATAACTATAATGTAATTATATGAGCAGTCCGTGATAGTCGATAAACATTAGACAATCATAGTCCACACTCTACAGACCAAAATAAACCAATAACTGCAAATTTCCATTCCCAGAATAGTACATTGCGGGCTACGGGCTATGGCATGCGATAACGGGAAATAACTAATATTATTAACACAATCATTATTTCATATTTGTACATGCTATTTAAAAATTTCATTATTCATAAACTATAAACTTTGAGAATCTGAATAAGAAAAAAAAATGCGTTTGTACAATTTCGCGATTTTTATCAATAAAAAATCGATCTAGATGAATTCATTTATATTAGTAAAAAAAATATCTAAGATGACCATTTAGATACCTTGTAACTATTTATCTAGATAAGATAAAATATGAACAAAAAAGTATCTAGATATTCATATAGATTAGTCCGAACACTGTTAGTCAATAGCAAGGTAATTATAATTACCTTGGTCAGTAGTCACTTCTCAACGTACAGTACGCTACTAAAAATATAATGAAATAGTCCAGATATCGTACATTCGTATCATTTCGTATATGATAGTAAGATACCGTCATATACTATTTATAGTATATACGTACGATCAAGCCCTTACTTATCGGTATCTTAATTGCGTTTAATCAAAGGTCGACAAAGTCATCGACTTTAATTGACTGTAAACGCTTTGGTGTTGTTAAGAGTGTATCGTTGGGGAAAAATATAATTATACAATTAATAATTATTATTTCAAAATCATATAAATGCAGTCAATGAATGTCCACAGATCACAAATAAAAATTTTATAGTGCATATAATTGCATATTCTGACGTTAATGCATGTTTGTAAGCATATTATTAAATTTAAAATGCATCATATAAAATGGTTATTCCAAGGGACTCAAATTACCAACTACCTTATTTTTCCCGGGACTCAACTTACCTACAACCGGTTTTTCCCCGGGACTCAATTTACCGAGTTAGGGTCATTTAGGACTCAATTTACCTAGCCCGGATTTTAATGTTGCTGTAGGCTAATAAACTAACAAATTGGATCTTTACCAAGAATAAAAAAAAAATGTTTTATAATACAATTAATAAATATAGTCTAACTTTAGAAATTAGCAAAAGAGTTAATTTAAATGTTAAGAGCAGAATACAAATAAAATGTATATTACCGTAACTGTAAAAGTGTTGTTCTACTTAATGAAGATTTACACTTAAAACATGAATTTGTAGAAAGTTTTTGTATTTTGTTCGCCAAGTATAACATTTACAACAAGTAAACACAGGTCTGTACTGGAGTTAACATATTATGTTCAGTGATTAAACTCCACAAATATTTTCAATGAAAAAAGTGTAAACGAATCACGAGGAGTAATAATTATCGTTTAAATAATATGTATTATATTATATTGGTAATAATATACTATAAAGTCTATTCAAAATGAGATTGGGACGTTTCGGTCGCCTCCCGTGCTTTCGGCGAGCTTGGTATATGTGCGTCGTGCATTCCTATACCAGGTACTGTACAATTTAAAATGGAGTGATGCTTTCGTTGGTGACGGCGCCATATTTATTATCTTTATCTATACTATATTATTAAAAATAAATAGCATAGGAATAATTGTACCTTTTATCAAATGAATGGTATCCATTACCATTCTTGAGGTATTAGGCCATGAACTATGCACATTATTATGTGCCATGGGATTAGAGTCTAATTTCTCACCCAGTCCATCGATGAAACATTCAAAGATGGCAAATACTTTTTTATATTTTCATAAAGCAAACGTAAACTTTTTAAAATTTTACTTTTGTAAGATCTGAATTAATGTGACAGCTCTTGGCAAGATCAAACATATCCCAATTCGTCTGGTTTTCAATTTTTTAAATCCATAATAACAGCTTCTGTTGAAAAGAACTGATCTTATCTGTAGATGTGAGAATGTTCTCTTGCTTTCCTTGCATGCTCTTGTTTAAATGATGCAGTTTTCAAAATATATCTATCAGAAAGGCTACCTTGGCACATCAGGAATCATCACTGAGAAAATCAACGTATCGTGATTCTTCACAATCAAAAAACAACAATAACTCCTCTCTATGTTTATAAAATCTTTGTAGGATACGTCCACGAGATAACCATCTTACTTCGGTGTAAAACCAAAGCTGGGTGTGCTCACTAGCAGAACTCAAGTTATTAAATAATGTCGATTTCAACGGTTTACTTTTAAAGAAGTTTATCATTTTGACAACAGTTTGCATTACTTCATTAAGCTCAGGCATCAAAGATTAAGCAACGACAGCTTCTGTGTGTATGAAGCAGTGCGTGAAAATAATATCTGGGTTTTCTTTCTTAACTAACGGCAAAGAACCTGTTAAATGACCCATCATTGAAGTGCACCCATCTGTACAAACATTAAAAAAAAATGTCTTTAGAAATTAAATAGTTCTAAGAGTTAAAGTCTTACGTTCTTAAGAGGTGGTAAGCGCTATACAGGCACGGTGATCTTTACCACTTTAATTATTTAACGACGTAGCACGTAGTCGTCAGTCTTGAGAATGATGGGTATTGAAATTAATTGAACACTTAGATCTATTTTGTTAACAATAAAGTAATATATTCTAATAATTGTTATGAAATAATAATGCGTAATATACTACTATTTTTGGGTTTACTACACTACCTATTCAAGCTGGTAATTTTCCCTTTTTTTCTGAGATCAATTACAGTCTTCTTATAGTTTGGTTTCTGGCAGCAGTTGCCTCATCAATAATGAAGTTTAAACTTTGGATATTCTAAATATTATTTATTAAAACTAACCTATTAAAAGACAAAGGTTGATAGTTACACAATGTTCGTTCCACAAAGAAGTAACGATAACCACCTAATACCAATATATCTTACTAACTCTTTCCATTCTATTTCAACAAAAGTATGAAATTCTTTCGAAGTTTCAATTCTTTCAGCAGAAATAGAAGAATGAGAGTACATTTTTATTGTTATATTTTTAACATCAATATCTAGATATTCCATAACGTTTTTAACGCAGTTGTGAAGTATATGTGTTCTACTCGGTATGCCGTCAGTCATATACAGACGGTAATAGTGGGGCAATGCTATAAATTAAGAATACAAAATTTTACTACTTATAACTTAATAATCGTGGTTAAATATTGTTTCGATGGCTAACACTTATTTTATTAAATTATTGTTTTTATTGCTATGTCATGGGTAGCTAAACTTTTGTGTTTTATGTTTAAAATAAGTAAAATAATTTAACACATTCTTTTTATATTTTTGCTAACAATTAGTTACAGTACGAATGCTGACTAAAGTATTTTAAAGGGAATTTATAGAACTATTTTACAAATCTATCACTTTTAACACGAACCAACTCGAATTATTATTTACCTACTGTATAGTGTATACTGTAATGATCCTCATTATTTAATATAAAAAATAATACCACAGATTAAATTTAACCAGATAGTTCAGTCCCTATTTGGCTCATCAAATTCTCAAAAATGTGAAGAAACAAAACCTACTTTAAATCAGTGTCACTACTAATAGATAAAATAAGATATTATTGGAAATTATTGTTTATATGTATACTATTTATGGTTCAAAACGTGCAATGTGGATTGAAAATTGTATTCCTGATTTTGCTGACAAAAACATTCAGGTTAAATATGTTTGTTCGTACATGTTCTTACTAAAAACCGGTTAAAGGATAATGCTGTTTCTACACTCTTTAATGGTAAGATATATCTATAATGAATTTCTTCTAGATAATCAAAAAAAATGACTAAGGATTAACGATATATTGGCTTAACGATCAAGTTGTGACGAGGTGGATAGTACTCTAGATTTTTCAACACATTTAGCTTGTTCAAGGCTAGTCATTGTCAAGTTTGTCTGTCAGCAGTTCAACCTCATATATTCAAACCACATTGCAGCTTTTAAATGCAACTCCGGGAAAATTAGAGTTGAGGAAACAACTTCGATAAGCCAAGGACCCATATTAGGACAATAGAGAACAGGCTCTGTTTATTTGATCATTAAGACTCTGTAGAATCTTTTTAAAATTTATGTCAACAATTTTTATCTCCAAACTTATTTTTAATTATTAAATCACATGAATTATACAATTTATTGTAAAAACTATAAATTAGGACTCACTGGCCGGACTGGTGCTATTTAACCCGTAAGTGGTATGGTACGGTCACACAGACCGCTGCAATTTTTTGTTTTGATTTAGGTGATAAGGTATTTATGATACAATCAAAGAGGTTGGTTTTACCTTTCCACGGAGATAGTATAAAACGGTAACTAATGGTTATGGAGTTAAACATGTTAAATACTGGTGTTAACAGCTGTTTTAAAGTGATAAGCGGTCTGACGGACCGCACCGTACCATCAACGTAATTATTTTTTCTTATCAAAATTTGACAAAGTTCGTAAACGTTTTTTTATTTTTTCGTTATTTTCAATTATAAAAAAATAAAAATGGATGAAGCTGGTTCATCTAACATTAGGATAAATGACCCGAACTTTCAGAACATTATATCAGACATATTAGCTGAAAATTGTTCAGACG